ATCGACTAGGCCTCATAATATCTTCATCTAAAACAAAGATATTAACAAGCAAACGACATCCCCCACCCATCTATTTGCAGGGTGAAATCATTAGCTACGTTAAAACCTACAGATATCTTGGTGTACATGTACCCTTTAACAAATCCACTATACCACAATTAAATAAGAAATGCAAAGGTAGGCTAAATACTCTCAAAGCTGTTGCTGGCTGCAACCCCAACTATGGTGCTAATGTGAGAATCGTGAGAATGATGTACATAGCCTATGTTAGGTCCTTAATTGATTATGCTGCTCCCATGTTGATATTAGCTAGGGAAAGTTCTCTCCGGCCCTTGGAGTTAATGCAGAATGAAGCTCTCAGAATTATTCTTGGGTGTCCCAAATTTACAAGGTTGTTAATATGAGGAAGGAGCTTGCTATTTCTAGTATCAGTGATAAAATTGTAGAGATTAACACTGTACTCGGTATTAGAATGTTGAGAAATGAACCAGACTCTGTCACGATGAATCTTACCAAGTGTCTAGAGATAAATACACACAGATCTAAATGGATTGTGAAAACGTGCAATTGCATTAAGTTTTATAACCTGCATGAACTGTATCACTGTAGGCAACAAGAGCATTTCACCCCTCCATGGAAGATGTGTTCATTTAATATCACATGCCTACAAGTCCCTCCCAAGAAGCTCATTGCTAGTAATCGCTTCCTTAATCACTTGTTAAGGCAACTGCTCAAGAAGAAATTTCTCGCCTAGCTGGTAGTAATAAGTTATCACAAGTTATATACACTGATGGATCTAAACAGGAGTGTTCTGGCAGGGCTGCATCTGCTCTTGTTGCCACCTTCCTAGTTAAGAACGATAATAAATTTGTTGAGTTAGGCATAAGAATTAACAACTGGGCGTCTACACTGCAAACTGAATTGTTTGCAATCCTAATGGCGCTAAAGCTAACCTATGACACCGAGCTTGACTATCATCATTACTGATTCTATGTCATCACTGAAGGCTCTTGACTCATATAATGACTCCAATGACATGCTCATTGGAGAAGCCAGGTATAGATACTCAAAAATCAGGGACAAATTCAAATTCAAATTCAAATTCAAAATTTATTCTCTATAAGGATTACAATGCTGAGTTTACAGAATTTGGTTATTGTATTGTTTACATGTAGTAAAATAATAATTACAGAGTGTACCACTAGAACACCTAGCATGGCTAGGCATTTCGGCCAGACTTAAATTAAATCTTAAGTTTAAAATATTACAAAATTATGAGGTAAGTTGGTATTATGGCTAAGTGACTAAATACTAGTTTGTGAGTTTAGCAATGTGAATGCTTTTGATTTGGCACTATACATAGTTTCAGTATTGGAGTATCACAGGCCAACTTATGACTAGTTAAGATTCATTATTTTGAGATTGAGATTGATATTTCTGTTTATGGTCAAATGGGTGAGTGAGTGTGTTAACCACCAGGTGGTATTCGTGTAATTAGTTGACAGGGTGTATCAGGGAGATAAGATGTTTTCTGATGGTAGTTTTGAAGGTGATGAATGTGTCTGCAGTTTTAGAATTTTCAGGTTAGGTGTTCCAGATTTTAGGGCTTTTGACATGCATTGAATTTTTGTAAAGGTTTAGTCGGACACGGGGAATGTCATAGAGATGTTTGTGTCTGGTATTGTGCCTGTGGGTTCTGTCGCAACTATCAAGAAAGCGTTTTAGGTCAAGGTTAATATTGGAGTTTAAGGTCCTGTAGATGTAGATTGCACAGTAGTAAGTGTGGATGTACTGAACAGGGAGTAAGTTTAGATCTGTGAAGAGTGGGGGGGGGGGGGTGTTGCCAGGGATGGGATTTAGTGATTATTCTTACTGCAGCTTTTTGTTGGATTATTATTGGCTTTAGGTGTGTTGCTGCAGTTGAACCCCAAGCACATATAGCATAGGTGACGTATGGATATATAAGTGAATGGTATACTGTGAGAAGGGCAGTTTGCGGCACGTAGTATCGTATCTTGGAGAGGATCCCAATCGTTTTGGATATTTTTTTGGTTATGTGTTGGATATGGGTGCTGAAGTTCAGGTTGTTGTCGAGGTATAGGCCTAGGAATTTGCCCTCATTATGCCTGGAAATTAGAGTGTTGTCGATCTTAATGTTAATTTGCGCATCTCCTGCTCTGCTACAAAGGAATTAATGTACAGTTGCTATGGATCCCATCACACATTGGATTACTCCTTCATGATAAAGTTGATATGTTAGCCAAGAAGAGTACCAAGGAGGAGAATGTAGAATATAACTTTGATGTAACTGTGTCTAGCATTAGGAATAATATTAGGAGAGAAGTAAATAATGAAAATGATTGTTATAGGAATGCATTTAGAAGCCTGAGTAGATCCATAACCCACAATGATAACATGAACGTAGATAAGTATGTTTATGGAGCAACGTGCAATGTGAACAGATTGGCTGATGTTGTAGTGGCCAGGCTTAGGCTTGGTTACAAGTACTGACTGATGTTGTAGTGGCCAGGCTTAGGCTTGGTTTCAAGTACTTCTGGCAGTTTGGGAGACACACAGTTGATGATAAAACTAAATGTAAATTATATGATCAGCCATATGGTCACTGTCTTGAACACTATGTGCTTAATTGTCCACTTATTGAGGAATACAGAGACAGACAGTATAATAACCTATGTGACATGTCAAGATATCTTATTAATGAAAATAAGATACCAGATATACTAAGCAAATTTCCTAAATTTGCTTGTAACAGATAAGTGAACTATAGATATGTAGATATAAATCCATAAGCATTCATGTTAACCCTTTGGGGCCTAGTTCCTGGGCCTTTTGTGTATCCATGTGCTCTTGCGCTACCGTCCACAGGATGGATATGGGGTGCACAATAAACTAGCCACATCGGTGACAAAATCTAAATCTAAATCTATGCTACCCTGACACGTACTTGTCATACTCTGAAGCCGAAGGGAGTGGCGTCGCCAGTTTCAGAGAGATCCAGAAGACCATCAAATACACAGGGATGCCACCTTGCTCCAAGGGTCTCTAACCCTTGGAGCATGAGGCAAGTGTGTACTAAAATTCCTGATAATTTCAGAGAATCAGTGTTGCAATCCAGAGGGGAAACGCCTGCAACATTCTGAGCACATGGCCCACCGCCCGGGAGCTGGATGAAGTATTTGAGATGCAGGTCCTGAGATGTCTTTTAGGTTGTTCTTCCAATTCAAGGCATGCTAATAACCATAAGACAAACATTACTTGTCTTTTAACAGCACGATTTCCAGCAGCCTCTCCTTGTATATCCTTTTGGGGTGCCATCTCAGTGTCCACAGGGGCTGTTGATTAACAAGTGAGTTGGTGCCCCGTTGCCTGGTGGCTAAAGGTCTTGTTTCACACGGCGAGGGTCTGGCTTTGATTCCCAGCGAGGGTAGAAACATTGGGTGTTTCTTTATACCAGTTGTCTATATTCCCCATCAGTAAAATGAAAACCTGGGAGTTAGTCGACTGGTGTGGGTCGCATCCTGTAACAAAACTGACCTAATTTTCCCGAAATGCTCTGCATAACAAGCAGCTTTGTACATAGAAGTATGTCATTGATGTCAGCTAGGCCTGTATACCTTGTACATGTACTTGTAGAAATAAAGATATTATTATTATTATTATTATTATTATTCATACAGTTTGCCCCAAAGGAGAGTATATCCAGCATTTCACTATTATCTGAAATGTGTAGTGATACACACTTGGTTTTGGGTGAATTACCCACGCTTCACGAGATTTATTGGTAACTCCAGCCAAATCTTATCTCTTCCTATCTGCTGCAGTTAATGCAAGAAGATGTGGATGTGACTGAACTTACCTGGGTATTGTAACTGTGTAGTTATGTCCTCACTCGTTGATAGGGAGTCACTTTGGTCATTCGTTACACGAGAGTAATATCTTGTCTCTTTGTTCATAACATCCGAATTCATACCGCAACACAAACTTTTAACTTTATCGGGATTATACCACTCGTGTTTCTTTTTAACACCAGTTTTCCTAGTGAAGATTGATAGTATTTCAGAGCTTACCGCACAAAGTCATTATTTTCTTTGTTCTCAGTGGGAGATTTGTGACGTGTTAACGCTCTGATGTCTGAATTCAACCTAGCTTGTCTCCCTGCCCAACACCCCCCAGGTCATCGTCCCCACCAAAAGAACTGCTGAACTCAGCTTTATATACCGTCCTTCCTACACACTGCAACAAGGAATAACACAATAAGGTTGTTTCCTTGTTGTTTAGCTGTATAATATTAGTCATAACGTCCCTGACTTGTAGAACAAGTGGGGCGCAGGTTTTCTCTTAATTTCCCTAAGGGAAAAATGAGTAATTGCTCTCGTTTAACCCTCATTGTGTTTACCTGGAGAGGGTTCCGGGGGTCAACGCCCCCGCGGCACGGTCTGTGACCAAGCCTCATGGTGGATCAGGGCTTGATCAACAAGACTGTTACTGTTGGCCGCACGTAATCCGACGAACGAACCGCAGCCCAGCTGGTCAGGTACTGACTTTAGGTGCCTGTCCAGTGCATTCTTGAAGACAGCCAGGGGTCTATTGGTAATCCCCCTTATGTATGCTGGAAGGCAGTTGGATTTATATATATATATATATATATATATATATATATATATATATATATATATATATATATATATATATATATATATATATATATATATATAATGAAACCACAAAACAAGTGGTACTGAAAGAGAGAAGCACACTCACAATGTTATCAAGATAATACCTGGAGTAACTTTGAAATCAGGTTAGACATATAGGAGAGAGTAGTTATGTTTGAGAAGACTCAGTTATGGGTCAGTGTGCTACTGTAGTGCTCAAATAACAAAAAAAATCACAAGTTACATAATTAATTTATATTTTCTCTGGTTAAATGTTAATAAAAAATAGCATTTCGTTTTTATTTTTTATTTAAATGAACGTTGTAATACAACATAAATGTTCTTTGCCTTTTTATTATATACAAAATTTAATGCTTACGTCTCTTGGCCACACATTGATATTAGTTTCATGCACTTTAGGGAGTTTGAGATTATTTCTGTATATTTGCTTAACATGGTATTATATTTAATGAAGCACTAAATCCGGGTGGATTATTTAGCACAATGAGCCGTGAAGGTTCGAACCTCCGTCCACAACAACGGTTTGGTGTCTTAGATATATTTCACAAGCAAAGTCTCCATAACTGGTCCTAGTCCACTGTTCAGAACTGAGAATTTGTCAGATTCGTACGTTGGTTAGCTGATGATAGTTATGGCTTTGATTCAGCTGGAAGAGGAAGTGCCAAACCAACTGTGAGATAGATTAATAGCGGTCAAGGGATAGAGTAGTAATTAGCCAGCTGTGGGATGTGTGTGTGAAGGTGTACGAAACGACAACAGCTTGCGACAGTAGCTTGATCCGCAATACGGGACGCGATCTTCTGATGTCTGAGACAAGACAGAGTACAGTGTCCATGTGATGGGGACAGGTGAGCCTGGCTGTACTAGCGGAGATGTTGGACATTCCTCTCTTCGTCTTCTGGATACGTCAAGTTTACTTACATGTTCTTCTGCTCATAACTGCACGAGTTTTAGTCACTGTTGGTTGCTTGTTGTGTTGGTAGTGATGTTTGTTGTCACTGATGGTTGCTTGTGTTAGTAGTTATGTTTGTTGTCACTGTTGGTTGCTTGTGTTGGTACAGTGATTGTTGTCACTGTTGGTTGCTTGCGTTGGTACAGTGATTGTTGTCACTGTTGGTTGCTTGTGTTGGTACAATAATGTTGTCACTGTTGGTTGCTTGTGTTGGTACAGTAATTGTTGTCACTGTTGGTTGCTTGTGTTGGTACAATAATGTTGTCACTGTTGGTTGCTTGTGTTGGTACAATGATGTTGTCACTGTTGGCTGCTTGTTGGAGTTATCTCAGCTTGCTTGTGCTGACAGACTTGTTAAACAGCGATGGAGAAGCTGGTGTTCCTGCATCTGTCGCTGTTGGCCCGTTTTCTGTTGTCCCTGTCCACCTCAGTCTCACTCATCTCCAAGGTGTCGCAGCTGTGTGCGGGCGTGGAGTGCCCGTGGGCGTGGCAACGACCCATGCCTCCCGTCGTCATCACGCCCACGCCTGCCCCCACCACTCCCTTGTTGCTGCTGTTCATCATTCCTTTGTTGAGCTCTCCTAGGCCAGTGTAGCTCCCACTCCCGCTCGACCTGTAATGACACAAGTGCCAACAAACAACGGAACGGGTGGGGTTTGAACCTATAAGTCACTCGCCATGCATTCAAACCTCACCCGTTCCGTGGTTTAACGATTATTACTATTATTATTATTATTATACCTTTCAAGAGGACGAGTTTTCTTAATGCTAGTAGAAGGCTCTTCATCCAAGGAATTAGAACTGCCAACCTTTATTTTTGAGCGTATATGACTACTTTTCCTCTCAGAGGCGCTATGTGATATTTATAAACAAGTGTTGAAGGTGACAGGTCCACGCAGTGCCTGGTGTTGATGATGATTATGTTTATTAGAGGGGAAGGAGGGTAGCTCCAGTTCTTTGGATCAAGAATACTTCTGTAGCAAGGGAGGAGATGATATAAACAGGTACGCTAATAGAGAGAGAGAGAGAGAGAGAGAGAGAGAGAGAGAGAGAGAGAGAAGAAGAAGAAAGAAGAACGAGAGAGGGAGAGAAGGACTCAACACAAGAAATGTCATTCTAAAACAACTCACCATCCTAAGAGAACCCTCCATCCTAAGAGAACCCTCCATCCTAAGAGAACCCTCCATCCTAAGAGAACCCTCCATCCTAAGAGAACCCTCCATCCTAAGAGAACCCTCCATCCTAAGAGAACCCTCCATCCTAAGAGAACCCTCCATCCTAAGAGAACCCTCCATCCTAAGAGAGCCCTCCATCCTAAGAGAACCCTCCATCCTAAGAGAACCCACCATCCTAAGAGAACCCACCATCCTAAGAGAACCCACCATCCTAAGAGAGCCCTCCATCCTAAGAGAGCCCTCCATCCTAAGAGAACCCACCATCCTAAGAGAACCCACCATCCTAAGAGAACCCTCCATCCTAAGAGAACCCACAATCCTAAGAGAACCCTCCATCCTAAGAGAACCCTCCATCCTAAGAGAGCCCTCCATCCTAAGAGAACCCTCCATCCTAAGAGAACCCTCCATCCTAAGAGAACCCTCCATCCTAAGAGAACCCTCCATCCTAAGAGAGCCCTCCATCCTAAGAGAACCCTCCATCCTAAGAGAACCCTCCATCCTAAGAGAACCCTCCATCCTAAGAGAGCCCTCCATCCTAAGAGAACCCTCCATCCTAAGAGAACCCTCCATCCTAAGAGAACCCTCCATCCTAAGAGAACTCTCCATCCTAAGAGAACCCTCCATCCTAAGAGAACCCTCCATCCTAAGAGAATCCTCCATCTTAAGAGAACCCTCCATCCTAAGAGAACTCTCCATCCTAAGAGAACCCTCCATCCTAAGAGAACCCTCCATCCTAAGAGAACCCTCCATCCTAAGAGAACTCTCCATCCTAAGAGAACCCTCCATCCTAAGAGAACCCTCCATCCTAAGAGAACCCTCCATCCTAAGAGAACCCTCCATCCTAAGAGAACCCTCCATCCTAAGAGAACCCTCCATCCTAAGAGAACCCTCCATCCTAAGAGAACCCTCCATCCTAAGAGAACCCTCCATCCTAAGAGAACCCTCCATCCTAAGAGAACCCTCCATTCTAAGAGAACCCTCCATCCTAAGAGAACCCTCCATCCTAAGAGAACCCACCATCCTAAGAGAACCCTCCATCCTAAGAGAACCCTCCATCCTAAGAGAACCCTCCATCCTAAGAGAACCCTCCATCCTAAGAGAACCCTCCATCCTAAGAGAACCCTCCATCCTAAGAGAGCCCTCCATCCTAAGAGAACCCTCCATTCTAAGAGAACCCTCCATCCTAAGAGAGCCCTCCATCCTAAGAGAACTCTCCATCCTAAGAGAACCCTCCATCCTAAGAGAACCCTCCATCCTAAGAGAACCCTCCATCCTAAGAGAACCCACCATCCTAAGAGAACCCTCCATCCTAAGAGAACCCTCCATCCTAAGAGAACCCTCCATCCTAAGAGAACCCACCATCCTAAGAGAACCCACCATCCTAAGAGAACCCACAATCCTAAGAGAAACCACCATCCTAAAACAACTCACCATCCTAAGAGAACCCACCATCCTAAAACAACTCACCATCCTAAGAGAACCCACCATTCTAAGAGAACTCACCATCCTAAAACAGCTCACCATCCTAAGAGAACCCATCATCCTAAAAGAACCCACTATCCTAAGAGAACCCATCATCCTAAAACAAATCACCATCCTAAGAGAACCCACCATCCTGAGAGAACCCACCATCCTGAGAGAACCCACCATCCTAAAACAACTCACCATCCTAAGAGAACCCTACATCCTAAGAGAACCCTCCATCCTAGGATAACCCACCATCCTAAAACAACTCACCATCCTAAGATAACCCATCATCCTAAGAGAACCCACCATCCTAAGAGAACCCACTATCCTAAGAGAACCCGCCATCCTAACACAAGTCACCATCCTATGAGAACCCACTAACCTAAGAGAACCCACCATCCTAAGAGAACCCACCATCCTAAAACAACTCATCATCCTAAGAGAATGCACCATTCTAAGAGAACCTACCATCCTAAGAGAACCCACTATCCTAAGAGAACCCACCATCTTAGCATGAACCTACCATTCTCTCAGGACTTCCTTTTACTGCTCCACAGCTTCGTGAACCATTTCACAACTAGTTGAAGTCTGAATGATTAGACATGCCTTCCCCATCTGGTGTGTCTATTACACATTGACCTCGTACTAGTCTTTACTCCCCACTATGTTTCCTTGTCCGTATTGACGCTGATAATACTTGTGAAGGTTTTCTTAATAACCCGTCAGTCGTAGGGGTGACAGTGAACTAGGTTTTAGCTAAGGATCCATCAGCTTCATTGACACTCGAATTGGTGAAGTTAACCCTTGAGAAGACGAGAAAAGATTATGACTGGGAGAAGAGGAGATGGATATTTTAAAGTGCAGAAATCAGTATCCTTGGTACTTGTTTTCCCTGAGCAATTTTTCGACTCACTCGAGAATCAGTTATCAGTCTAGCATTGGGCAGCACTTATTATTACATCAAGGTAGGGTAAAGCACAGGAATTTATTTCTAACCAGAGTGATGAGGGGCTTCTCTTATTACGGCACTATAATGGTTATGGTACTCAATGTATATGAATGTATCCCTGCCAAGTACAGACGTAAATTCGTTGAAAATGCGTTAAAAAAATTAATAGAGCAATTAATTAATTCTGAAGTATCACAAATTGACGTCAGTTTTGGAGGCAGCAAAAGTGGCTGATACCTTCAAGTGAGAGAGCCTAAAAATTCTTTTCCCAACAGTATTGCAGTGATAATGAACATCGGGGAAAGTGATCTGCAGGTGGCATGAAGACTGAAGCTAGGAGTGAACCACAGTGCGCATCTAAACAATAAGCAGGTGCTAGCAGGAGAAACCACTTTTGTTACTGCCATAAACCTGGCCATCTTTTATCAGACTATTCCAAACTCCAAAGAACGTCCAGAAACCCATAGGGTTAATTAGTAATCCCGTTTCTCAGAACGAAGTGCAAGTGTGTTTGGACTTCACTTAAAGTGAATGACAGATGGCATTACAAGAGTCAGACGCTCCTGTAACTGATAAGACTTTCCGGAATACGGTGGCATACTGTCCCCTTTCATGAGATGTGGTACTTACCACGTCCAAGCACACGACTTCATAAAAATATGCTATTATGTTAATATGGATCTCTACTTAATGTTTCCAGCATCTTGTTGAATTCATGCCACGAGTAATTCATGTAGTTTCTGGAGGCAAAGGGGAATCCTTTGCCTCTAGAAACAGCCTGAAGTGGCTGGGTGTATAGTGGGATTAATAAGTGAATAATGGGCAGAATATACGAGCAGGAGACAACAGGGAGAGACATCATGAGGGGGAGGCATCTGGGAAGGAACCATCATGAGGAGACATCAAGGGAAAGAGATATTTGAAGAAGAAATCATGTGAAGAAGATACAGATAGGAAACATCATTAAGAGAGAAGAGAGAAGCCACCATAAAAGTGGTGCCGTCATAGGAAGGAGGATTCATAAGGATGAGACATCATGGGGAAGGAACTTCAGAAGGAATAAACATCTTCGGAAAAAGACATAACTGGGAGGAGCCATCATGGGAATGAGGCATCATGGAAAGGAGTAATCATGAACAGGAATTGTCTTGATAAAGAGACTAATAGGAAGGATACATAATTATTAAAAGAAATCATGAGGAGTAGCCACATGGGGAAGAAATTATCATAAGGAGGAGATATCGCAGACAAGATAAATCATGTAGGAGTTATCACTGAGAGGAACCATCACAAGGAGGAGAATTCATGCTGAGAAGCCATAATGGAGGAAAAAAAACTTCATTTACTGGGCTTTCATGGGAAGGACCATCAAATAGACGAGCCATAATGGAAGAGAGCCATTATATGGAGGAGCCATCATGAGGAAGATGCATTAAAGGGAAAATTCATAGTGAGGAGAAGCCATCTTTGTGGAGATTTCATGGGGCATAAGACATCATGAGGAGAAAACTTTGAGGAGACAACATAGAGAGGAGCTATGTAATGAGAAGACATGTGTTGGAAACAGATATCATGGGGGGATAAAGAGACAAATGTAATATAGATCTGTTTCCGACTTAATAAAGGCAACAGTGTGGGCTGTCAATAAGTGATCACATCATGGGAGGACCTACCTGGAGTGATCACATCATGGGAGGACCTACCTGGAGTGATCACATCATGGGAGGACCTACCTGGAGTGATCACATCATGGGAGGACCTACCTGGAGTGATCACATCATGGGAGGACCTACCTGGAGTGATCACATCATGGGAGGACCTACCTGGAGTGATCACATCATGGGAGGACCTACCTGGAGTGATCACATCATGGGAGGACCTACCTGGAGTGATCACATCATGGGAGGACCTACCTGGAGTGATCACATCATGGGAGGACCTACCTGGAGTGTTCACATCATGGGAGGATCTACCTGGAGTGCTCACATCATAGGAGTCATCCTGGGAGAACCTACCTGGAGTGATCACATCATGGGAGGAGTTACCTTGGGAGAACCTACCTGGAGTGATCACATCATGGGAGGAGTTACCTTGGGAGAACCTACCTGGAGTGATAACATCATGGGAGTAGTCATCTTGGGAGGACTTACCTGGAGCGGGAGCGGCGGGGTAAGCTCTTCCTCTCTTGCAAGGGAGAGGTCACTGTGCTGGCGTCCGACGCTACGTACAACAGATCTGCCGGTAGATTTACACTCCTCCGTTATCTTATGTACAAACCTAATTTTAGCTGTGAATACACACATACGCATATATATATATATATATATATATATATATATATATATATATATATATATATATATATATATATATATATATATTATTGTGCCCACGAACATGTGGCATTGATCAATAACAACACTGCGACTAGCCAAGGACTCGAACCCAAAGCAGCATGGGTTCGAGTTCTTAGCTAGTCGCAGTGTTGTTATTGATCAATGCCACTTGTTCGTGGGCACAATATAAAATACTGCTCGTTGTACTAGTACACCAAACAGGGACTAGAATGAAATTAGCCTAGAGTCATCCACACCATCGTGTGTCCTTGGATAGCGAGTACAACATCCAGTTCTGCTGGATGTGCTACTCTTAAGAATTGTATGGTCCCGTGGATTAAGGCGTCATGAGTTTTCACCCACCATGAGGCAGGACAAAGCAGCATGGGTTCGAGTCCTTGGCTAGTCGCAGTGTTATTGATATATATATATATATATATATATATATATATATATATATATATATATATATATATATATATATATATATATATATATATATATATATATATATGTTAGACACGCCACGGGGGATGGAAATCTTGTACTGCATTGTTCAGGTAGCCTGTCTGCGATTGTTTTGCAATTTGAATGTACTCACACAAACACTACAAACCTCACTCAAGGAAAAGGATCTTGGAGTGAGTATAATACTGAACATATCTCCTGAGGCGCACATCAACCAAATAACTGCTGCAGCATATAGGCGCATAGCAAACCTAAGAATTGCTTTCCGACATCTCAGTAAGGAATCGTTCAGGACACTGGACACCGTGTGCGTCAGGCTTATATTGTAGGATGCAGCACCAGTTTGGAATCCACACCTGGGTAATTATTATTATTATAATCAAAAAGAAGCGCTAAGCCACAAGGGCTATACAGCGCTGCAGGGCAGGAAGGAAGCGAGGGCATTAGGTGGCAAAAGGGAGATGGATGAGTAATAGGTTACGGAGAACAGCGGGGCAGTGGATGGTGAAAGGGTAAAGGGCAGCAAGAGACTGAGCTAGAAAGGGCTGAGGAGAGTGCGAAAGGCATCATCATCAGAGTTTGTGGAGTAAATCAGTCGTTGTCAAGAAGTCAATGAGAGAGTCAGGATTAAAGGAGGGTCCATCAGCAAGAAGGGAATGTAAAGAGAGAGTAGTAGAACGAAGACGACGTTGGAGATAAATTCTGCGTGCTCATTGATAGAGAGGGCAGTCTAACAGAATGTGGCTAATCGATACAGGAACTTGACACTGCTCACAGAGAGGAACAGGGTGCCTCTCCATGAGATACTCATGAGTAAGACGATTGTGGCCAATGCGAAGGCGGGAGAGAGTGGTCTCCCAACCTCGGCACTGATGACAAGAAGACGGCCAGTAACCTATGCTCGGTTTAATAGAATGAAGTTTGTTACCGAGTAGAGATGACCAACGTTGTTGCCAACGGGTGTGAAAGTGGGTAGCTACTGCAGCAAAATAGTCCAGAAATGGAACACCTCTATAGGAAATTGGTAGGTCATGTACTGTTGACCGCACAGCAGTGTCTGCCTGTTCATTGCCCTGTACGACGACATGACCAGGGACCCAACAAAAAACAATATCTTTATGCTTGGCAGAGATACGGCGTAGCCAAAGTTGGATACGGAGAACTAGGGGGTGAGATGTATCAAATTTTCATATAGCCTGTAGAGCACTAAAGGAGTCTGAGACTACCACAAATGATGACACAGGCATAGATGCGATACGAATAAGTGCTGCAAGAATGGCATACAATTCAGCAGTAAAAATGCTAGCCGAAGATAGTAAATGCCCCCGCACGACGCTGTCTGGAAACACTGCTGCGAATCCGACGCCGTCTGAAGACTTAGAGCCATCTGTGTACACAGCGATGGCATGAGAATGAGAGTGGAAGTGATCAAGAAAAAGAGAGCGGGAAGCCACAGTAGGCAGTTGGGCTTTCGAACAAGGGAGTGAGAAAGAACAGACCCAAACAGCTGGAACTTCCCAGGGAGGTAGGGAAAAGTGAGATGCGACATAAACATATAAAGGTGGTAACTGAAGGGAAGACAAGAGCGAATGTAGGCGAAGAGAAAAGGGACAGAGAAAAGGGACGGAGCAAACAGAGGCGGCGAACAAATAAAGAATGTCTACTAATATCGGTGACAATTCTATAAATGGAAGGATTGTGGAGATCGTGAGAGCGTACATAGTAGCGAAGGCAATGGGCATCACGGCGATCAGACAAGGATGGAACATTCGCTTCTGCATAGAGGCTCTCAACAGGGGAAGAGCGAAAAGCACCAAGGCATAAACGTAATCCTTGGTGATGGATGGGGTTAAGGCTAGAGAGAGTAGCAGGAGAGGCCGCTGAATAAATCTGGTCACCATAATCGAGTTTCGATAAAACGAGGGCTGAATGTAGGCGAAGCAGAGTTCGACGATCAGCTCCCCAGGAAAGATGAGCAAGGGTTTTAAGAAGGTTTAGCTGGCTGTGACAAGTTGCCTTCAGAGAGGTAATGTGAGGTTTCCAGGATAACCAACGGTCAAAGAGAAGGCCTAGAAACCTGACTGTATCACGTTCGGGGATACGGGAACCATAGAGATACAAAGGATGATCGGAGATGACAGAGCGTCTAGTAAAAGTAATTTGGTGAGTTTTGGTACTGGAAAATTTAAACCCATGCATGGTGGCCCAAGTGGAAACAAGGTCGACCGCATGCTGGAGAGAAACTGCAATAAGATGACAGTCAGCGCCTGTGCAAGCAATAGCGAAGTCATCAACATAGAGTGATGACCAAATATTGGGTGGAAGAACAGAGGCCAAATCATTTATAGCAAGGAGAAAAATTGTTGTGCTCAGAACACATCCCTGAGGGACACCTTCAGCTTGGACGAAGTCCGGGGAAATCACATTATTGACTCGAACACGGAAGTGTCTGTCAGTTAAAAAATTCTTAAGGAAGGATGGTAGATTGCCTCAGAGGCCTAAGGAGTGGGGTTGGGCCAAAATATTATACCTCCAAGCTGTGTCATATGCCTTCTCAATGTCAAAAAATATGGTAATAACCGAGTGATTATTCGCAAAGGCATTACGAACATACTATCCAAGCGTAGTAAGGAGTCTATGGTAGAACGGCCCTTACGAAAGCCATATTGACTAGCGGAGTGACTGTTGTGTGTCTCTAAATACAACATTAAACGTCGATTTACCAGACGTTTCATCACTTTGCAAACTGCACTAGTAAGAGCGACGGGACGATAGTGGGAGGCATCATGTCCTGTAGTACCCGGCTTGCAGAAAGGGAGAACAATGGCAGATTTCCACAGCTGGGGAAGAACTCCTTGTGCCCAAATAAGATTGAAGAGGTGTAAGAGGACTACAAGGGCTGACTGATGTAAATGTTGTAACATACGAATATGAATGTCGTCAGGCCCAGCTGCCGATGATCGGCAAGCTGAGAGTGTTGCCTCCAGTTCCTGAAGTGTAAAAGGCACATTACACTGTTCTTCTCTGAGAGAAGAAAAGTCCAAGGGTACTAACTCTCTGGCAGACTTTGAGGAAAGAAACGAGGGGCATAGATGAAGCCCCCTGGAAATACGGACCAGATGAGTGCCAATTTCAATGGCAACGTCAAGAGGGTTTGCTACATCATTACTGGCGACCCATAGAACAGGAGCCGGGTCAGGAGAGTATTTACCACTCAATTTCCTCACTTTTTTCCAGACTACACTCATAGAGAAAGCAGAGGTGATGGTGGAAACATAGTCTCGCCAGCAAGTGCATTTAGCATCACGGAGGACATGGCGAGCGATCGCACGCTTCTGCTTAAAATCAAGAAGTCTCTCATTGGTTCTATTGTATCGGTACCTGCCCCATGCAGTGCGTTTCAAACGTACTGCACTAGCACAAGCAGGAGACCACCAAGGCACGCACTTCTGAGAATGCCTGCCTGAGGTTTGGGGTATAGAATGAGAAGCTGCGGTATAAACTGACGTCGAGAAGAGGTGCAGTGAGTTGCGAGTAAAGGTCCCGATTTGCCCAATCAAATTGCCAGCGAGGGCTACGGAAAGGTGGTGAATATGAAGGAGAAGTAAGAATGATTGGAAAATGATCGCTGTCATGTAAGTCCGGCAGAACAGACCAGGTGAAGTCTAGTGCAGTGGAGGAAGAGCAGACTGATAGATCGATGCAAGAGAGAGTATGAGTACGAGGATCAAAATGGGTGGGAGTACCTGTATTTAAAACATGGAGGGGGTGAGAGGCGAGAAAAGCCTCCAACTCGATGCCAAGTGAATCACAATGAGACCCCCCCCCAGAGGAAATGGTGGGCGTTAAAATCACCAAGTAACAGAAGTGGTGGTGGTAAGGATGAAACTAGGAAGGCAAAATCTGGGATAGAAAATGCTCGAGAAGGAGAGAGATATAAAGAACATATTGTAAACCACTTATTCAAGTGGATACGGGCTGCAGTGTAATGTAGCGAGGTGTGGACAAATAGTCGACAGTACGGAATATCATTGCATAGAAGAAGGGCACTTTCATTAAAGGTCCCATCTGAGAAAGGATCTGAAGAATACAATAAATTATAGCCTGAGATAGGTTGGAAAATATCTGAGTGTAATTTTGGTTCTTGTAAGCAAGCACCAACAGGGGAAAACCTGGAAAGCAACATCTGAAGCTCACCCCAATTACCCCCTCCCCCTGAGGCCGCGGATATTCCGCTGTAAATAGGCCATGATTGGCAATGAAGAAAATACCAGGAATCCGTAGGGAAGGGCACCTATGGACTAGAGGGGTTAGAAAAGTCAACGTGTGGTGGCATTGGAGGATGTTCATGCAACGAAGGAACGGAGCATTGCGAAGAATGGAGTTGTGAAGATGGAGGAGAGGGAAGAGAAGGAACAGGAGGTGAATCAG